CGACAGTTTCACAGATCGCAGCCCCCCAGGGATGGCGAGGTCTAGTTTGAATCCGCGGTGATTACCCACTGCGCTGAGCCCCCCAGCAGGCCTCGAAAGTGGCGACAGTTTCACATATCGCAGCCCCCCAGGGATGGCGAGGTATAATTTGAGTCTGCGGTGGGTACCCACTGTGCTGGGCCCCACAGCAGGCCTCGAAAGTGGCGACACTTTCGCAGATCGCAGCCCCCCAGGGATGGCGAGGTCTAATTTGAGTCCGCGGTGAGTACCCACTGTGCTGTGCCCCTCAGCAGCCTTCGAAAGTTGTGATAGTTTCACAGATCGCAGTCCCCCAGGGATGGCGAGGTCTAATCTGAGTCCGCGGGGTGTACCCACTGTGCTGGGCCCCCCAGCAGGCCTCGAAAGTGGCGACAGTTTCACAGATCGCAGCCCCCCAGGGATGGCGAGGTCCCATTTGAATCCGCCGTGTGTACCCACTGTGCTGGGCCCCCCAGCAGGCCTCGAAAGTGGCGACAGTTTCACAGATCGCAGCCCCCCAGGGATGGCGAGGTCTGATTGGAGTCCGCGGTGTGTACCCACTGTGCTGGGCCCCCCAGCAGGCCTCGAAAGTGGCGACAGTTTCACAGATCGCAGCCCCCCAGGGACGGCGAGGTTTAATTTCAGTCCGCAGTGTGTACCCACTGTGCTGGGCCCCCCAGCAGGCTTCGAAAGTGGCGACAGTTTCACAGATCGCAGCCCCCCACGGACGGCGAGGTCTAATTTCAGTCCGCGGTGGGTACCCACTGCGTTGAGCCCCCCAGCAGGCCTCGAAAGTAAGGACAGTTTCACAGATCGCAGCCCCCCAGGGATGGCGAGGTGAAATTTGACTCCGCCGTGGGTACCAACTGTGCTGGGCCCCCCAGCAGGCCTCGAAAGTGGCGACAGTTTCACAGATCGCAGCCCACCAGGGATGGCGTGGTACACTTTGAGTCCGCGGTGTGTACCCACTGTGCTGGGCCCCCCCAGCAGGCTTCGAAAGTGGCGACAGTTTCACAGATCGCAGCCCCCCGGGGATGGCGAGGTCTAATTGGAGTCCGCCGTGGGTACCCACTGTGCTGGGCCCCCCAGCAGGCCTCGAAAGTGGCGACAGTTTCGCAGATCGCAGCCCCCCAGGGATGGCGAGGTGCCATTTGAATCCGCCGTGTGTACCCGCTGTGCTGGGCCCCCCAGCAGGCCTCAAAAGTGGCGGCAGTTTCACATATCGCAGCCCCCCAGGGATGGCGAGGTACAATTTGAATCCGCCGTGTGTACCAACTGTGCTGGCCCCCCCAGCAGGCCTCGAAAGTGGCGATAGTTTCACAGATCGCAGCCCCCCAGGGATGGCGAGGTCCAATTTTAACCAGCAGTGTGTACCCACAGTGCTGGGCCCCCCAGCAGGCCTCGAAAGTGGCGACAGTTTCACATATCGCAGCCCCCCAGAATCCGCGGTGTGTACCCACTGTGCTGGGCCCCCCAGCAGGCCTCGAAAGTGGCGACAGTTTCACAGATCGCGGCCCCCCAGGGATGGCGAGGTCTAATTGGTGTCCGCGGTGGGTACCCACTGTGGTGGGCCCCCCAGCAGGCCTCGAAAGTGGCGACAGTTTCACAGATCGCAGCCCCCCAGGGATGGCGAGGTCAAATTTGATTCCGCTGTGGGTACCCACTGTGCTGGGCCCCCCAGCAGGCTTCGAAAGTGGCGACCGTTTCACAGATCGCGGCCCCCCAGGGATGGCGAGGTCTAGTTGGGGTCCGCGGTGGGTACCCACTGTGGTGGGCCCCCCAGCAGGCCTCGAAAGTGGCGACAGTTTACATATCGCAGCCCCCCAGGGATGGCGAGGTCAAATTTGATCCGCCGTGGGTACCCACTGTGCTGGGCCCCCCAGCAGGCTCGAAAGTGGCGACAGTTTCACAGATCGCAGCCCCCCAGGGATGGCGAGGTCCCATTTGAACCACTGTGCTGGGCCCCCCAGCAGGCCTCGAAAGTGGCGACAGTTTCACAGATCGCGTGGCGAGGTGCCGCCCACTGTGCTGGGCCCCCCAGCAGGCCTCGAAAGTGGCGACAGTTTACAGATCGCAGCCCCCCAGGGATGGCGAGGTCCCGCCCCCACTGTGCTGGGCCCCCCAGCAGGCTCGAAAGTGGCGACGTTTCACAGATCGCAGCCCCCCAGGGATGGCGAGGTCAAATTTGAATCCGCCGTGGGTACCCCTGTGCTGGCCCCCCAGCAGGCCTCGAAAGTGGCGACAGTTTCACAGATCGCAGCCCCCCAGGGATGGCGAGGTCCCATTTGATTCCGCGGTGTGTACCCACTGTGCTGGGCCCCCCAGCAGGCCTCGAAAGTGGCGACAGTTTCGCAGATCGCAGCCCCCCAGGGATGGCGAGGTCAAATTTGAATCCGCCGTGGGTACCCACTGTGCTAGGCCCCCCAGCAGGCCTCGAAAGTGGCGACAGTTTCACAGATCGCAGCCCCCCAGCTGGCACGCAGCGACAAGCGAAGGCAGGGGGAAGGAGAGGGACGGGGGGCGGTGGGAAGGTTCGCGAGCAGTGCTGTATTCAAAACGAGAACCCAACGCAGGAGGGTTGGGAAAAATAGTCCCCAGGCAATTTTTTAAAAAAATTATTTTGGGATTATTTTTGGTGTATTTTTTATCTTTCGTCAACAATCCCCCTGTAGGGGGACAGGCCCGACTTAACCGCAGCCCTGCTCCCGCGGTCCGTACACCCGGCCGCGGTCCCCCCGGGCACACGCAGGGGGCTCGCGCCAAAAGGGCGGCCGTGCGTGTTGCTGCATTCAGGGGGCCGCGTTCGGGGAGCCAGCGGGAGCATGGACATTGACGTGGGTAGGTCTGCCGCTCACGAAGAGCGGGCGACATCAACCAGGGTCCGTTTCGACCCGATCGATCCGATTCCACATCGATTCCGCCCAGCACCCCGTTCGGCTCTGACATTCGGACGAGCAGATGCGGCCCGATGCTTGCATGGCGCTGGTGTGCATCTTGGCGCGGCCGATCCGATTCGATGTCGACTCCGTGCTGGTGCGATAGCATCCGACGCACATTCCGATTGGATCTGGTTTCCCGATGCGGTGGTGTCTCATCCTGCATCAACGGAGCACCTCACCGATCCTGGCCAGGCCGATCTCGGGCCCAGGCTCGGACTGGCCAGGGTCGGCGCGGTGGGTCAGTGGATGCCGCCCGCGAAGAGGCCGCGGACCTCGTGTTCGGGGACGGCGGCGATTCCTTCGGCGCGAAGGAGCCGGGCCAGGAGGACGCGCAGTCGGGGGAGGGGCCTGCGGAGGAGTCCGAGGGCGAGGCGGCCGCGGCGGAGGGCGAGGAGGAAGAGGAGGAGCCTGCGGAGGAGGATGCTGGCGATGAGGACGATGGCGGAGAGGTCGCGGAGGAGGACGACGGGGGCGAGGGCGAGGCGGCAACCACGACCACGGCAGAGGCCGAAGCGACCACGACCCCTGCTGGCACGACCACCTCTCCGGTGGCCTCCAGCACCGCTGCGCCGACGGAGGACCGCCGTGCGACCCGGCGGTCCACGAAGACGACGACGACGACGTCGAGGGCAGCCTCCACCACGACGGCGCCGTCCTCCACCAGCGAGACGGTGGCGCAGCAGGGCCACGAGGCGGGGATTTGTCCATAACCACCTCCCGGGGGATGGATCTTCGCGGACTTCCACGGGCGGTGGATGTGGACATGCTCGGGCCCCCGGGGGCCAGGATGTATCCATATCCATCGCCCGCTGGGGCGCCAGGACGTCGGTTCCCGGGCGGTGGATATGGATAAGTCCCCGCCTCGCACGCAGGGCCACGAGGCGATCGCCGACACCAAGGCCGCGGAGAAGACGAAGGTGGCCTCCGAGGACCACGGTGCGGACTCGACCACGCAGGCGACGCCGGGCCCCGCCGCGCAGAACGTCAAGAAGGTCTCGGAGGGAGCCGCGGAGCGGGAGGGCGAGCCCATCCAGTCTGGAGACGCCGTCTTCCTGAAGGCGCACACGGGCTCCTACCTGGACACGCAGGGCCGAAAGGTCCGCGCGCGCTGGAACATGCAGGGGGACTGGCAGCGCATGGTCATCACGAAGGCGCTCGCCCTCCTCGTCCTCCTCGTCGTCGTCCCCATCGCCTCCTCTCTCCTCCTCTCTCCTTCGCTCTCCTCCTCCCCTCGCGTCCTCTTCCTCCTCTTCCTCATCCTCTCTCCTCCTTGCCTCTCGCCTCGTCGTCGTCGTCCCCATCGCCTCCTCTCTCCTCCTCTCTCCTCCTCTTCCTTCTCAATCCTTTTCCTCCCCCCTCTCCTCAACATCCTCGAGGAAGGGGGTGGCACCATCTGGTCCGAGGACACCGTCTTCCTGAGAACCCACTCCGGGGCACACCTCAGCGTGGACGGCGACACCGTGGAGGCCCTCTCGGACGTGGTCGGGCCGACGCACGAGCTCGTGCTCTCGAAGGAGTCGGACGACGGCAACGTCTTTCCCGGGGACGTGGTCTTCTTGACCGCTCACACTGGGAAGTGCCTAGACGTCCAAGGTTGGAGAGTCAGTGAAACGCATGCGCATAAGAACTGTCAGAGTGGCACGCAGAGTTGTGGGGTTGGCGCCGGACCGCCCTTCCCACAGTCCCTGGACGCGCCTCTGTCGCCGTCCCTGGCGCGCTCCGCGCACCGGGGTGTGGGGTCTGGCTGTGCGAGGATGGTCCATCGCCGAGAAGCCCGCGCGGACGCCCGACCGTTTTTTGTCTCTGTGCCGTATCTTGGCCTTCCGAAGGTTCTGAAGTGAGCGCTCGCTGGGCGATGCACGGCCCCTGGCAGGCCTTCACCCTCGAGAAGGCCACCGCGCCAAAAGAGCCCGTCGCCGTCGCCAGCGAGGACGCAGGCGAGGACGCCGACACCGAGGAGGATCGGGGGGGCTTGTTTTCCACCATCACCACGATAAGTTGGAGGCGGAGGGGGTCCTCCTCCTCCTCCTCCTCCTCCTCCTCGTCCTCCTCCTCCTCCTCCTCGTCCTCCACCTCCTTCCACCCTCCAACTTATGGTGGTGATGGTGGTGGAAATCAAGCCCATCAGGATCCGCTGATTCAGTGGGAGAAGTTCGGAGTCGTCAAGATGGCCCAAGGGTCGCACGGCCCCGCAAAGGAAAGGCTTCAGAACCTGTCGGGGTCCGATCACCTGAAGAAGGGCACACAAGAACTCACCAAGGAGCAGAAGGCGAGCATCCTGAGCGTTCTCGGGTCTGGCGCGATACAGAGGTTCGAGGCTCGCGGCGCAGGTCGGGGGGGGGCGACCATAATTCGGCAGAGAAACATGTCAGAACCATCAGGCCGTCTGAGGCCGGTGCGGATATCTTGGATCAGCGTTGGGCCCCCCTGGCGGCGCCTTTGGCGCGCTCTGCGCGCCAGGAGAGAGGGGTCCTGCGCAGGTCAAAGATATCCGCGTGGACCTCTGAAAATGTTGTCATGATGCAATTTTGCTCAGGAGGGTAAACAAATTTACGTGTCCATGCATGTTCGCGGATTTCGAGGATTTGCCTTGTGCGAGCTTCCGTAGCACGTCGCGGATTGGGGGACCGTCCTTTCCTAAAGTTGTACTCCCCACCCAACAGGTAGGGGTCGTTAGATATTGTGAGCAGACCTCTCGACCCGCCCACCAGGCGTTTTTGCGGCCGCCAGATCCCCAGGTCCAGCGAGAATCCCCGAGGCACCTGCCCCTGTGAAGATGGCATACAGTCGGGGCATTGAAGAAGGAACCCTTTTCGTTGGGGAGGGGCTCCGTGTTCCTTAGTTGTTTTGCAGTTTGCCTTAGGTTTTTCTTAGGTCGTCCATGGGAAATCGAAGTTCAATGTGTGGAGAAAAGGGGCATCGTTCCTTGTTTAAGGTTCCTTAGGTCAAAACCCCGACTGCAATATATGAATAGCACATGGCATGAGATAACATGACAGGCAGAGCTCAACAAACTGACCATAACCTGACAATTGAGAGCATACCAGAGCACACCATCACAACACATGGCAGACCATAGCACAACAACGCATGCTATGCCAGAGCGGAGCATAGACACCATACCATATCATCACAAAGCTTAGCATACCATAGCGGAACACAGCATAACATAACAGGGAATATTGTTTGGCAATTTGACATAATGCATAATACCATGGCACAGCGTCAACACACATAGCATATTATCACATGCCAACATATAGCATAGCACACTGCGACATAACGGATAACATTATAACGCTACAAACCATAGTATAGACCACCATACCACACCACAGCACGAGATAACAAAGCACATCATACCACACAATCGAGAATACCATGACATGGTACATCTTTCAATGGCAGCGAAGCGTTTTCGAGTATACCGAACCATTCCCTAGCTCACCATACCAGACTTGTTCCACAATTGCATTACTGCTTCTTGTAATGAATTAGCATAGACGATTACAAATTGCAGAGGAAGGATCACCGTGATATAGCATACTATAATATAACATCCGGACCATGTCTGACATGTACAAGCATCATACACGATCATTGTTGTACCGTTGGTGCCACGACGACAACGCGTATTGCGTAACAACGTTGATGCTTATTTGTACTAGAATTCAGATGCATGCCGTACCATCATACACTTAACGTCTCACAACGCACACTGCAGATCCTAACATAGCATACCACACGTCCACAACATGACTTACCAGTTCATATTATGACAGAGTTGATCATAACATCGTGGGCTTCTAGTTGTACGTGCTTGCCCATCTTAGTGAGGGCCGCATGGCCGCAGGGCCCGAACCCAAGCGCGAAAGCGCCTGGTGCGAACAAGGTTGCGACGCCAGGATCTCCAGGATCCTCACCCGCCAAGCTCGTTGCTCCCAGACCTTCGACGTCGAGTATGTTTTCACAACTTTGACGCCGTGGAGATTTCGACCACTTCCCAAGGACTGGCTTTTCATTTCTTGTTGACGCCCGCGGTCCGTCGAGGGCCCCAAGAGGCCGAACGCCACGCAACGTTTCCGTATCGTTTTCTGCGTGCATTGGAGGTTTGGGTAAACGCCCGGTGCGAACAGAAAACATGCGACGCTAGGATCTCAGGGATCGAAGGCCGATCGATCCCCGTGCCCCAGGGCCTTCGCGGACTGATCGAGATCGAGGGCCGGTCGAGGTTCGATCGATCGAGGATCGCGGGCCGATCCTCGATCGAGGACCGATGGATCGAATGGGATCGAATGTTTCGGACAACGCAGACATGCATAAGCACCAGCTCTCGGAGGGTCCGCGCTGGCTTCTCGGATCGTCGCAGGGACCCCCCTTCCTGGCGCGCGGAGCCAGCCAGGGTGGGCGCCGCAGGCGCCGCCCAGGGGTGCCCCGCGCAGATCCAGGAACACCGCGCGGACCGTCAGGCGTTGCTGCTGCTGCTTCTGCCGCTCTCCCTCCTCCCAGCACAGCCTGGCTCCTCCTCCTCCTCCTCCTCCTCCTCCTCCTCCTCCTCCTCGATGGATCCTGGAGCGATCCTCGATGCCGGTCGATCCCCGGTGGCGGTCGATCTTCGGCGTGGATCGATCCTCGATGTCGATCGGTCCTGGATGTCGATCGAGCCTCGATCGATCCTCGATCCTGGCCGTGAGCAGACGGGCCCCCCGCAGGCGCCCCCGCGCCCCGGCCGCGCCCTCGGGCGGCCGGCGCCGCCGGGCTGGCCGCCTTCGCGGGCCTCGCGTCCGTGGTGGGCCTGGCGCTGCTGCTCCTCGCGAGGCCTCGGAGGGCGACGACGACGACGACGCCGAGGCCGAGGCCGACGACGACGACGACGACGACGCCGAGGCCGACGCCGACGACGACGTCGACGACGACGTCCACGACGACGACGCCGACGCCGACGACGACGACGAGAGACGGTGACGACGTCGACGCCGACGGCGACGGCGAAGGCGGTCCCCTGACCTCCAACGTGTTGACGGAATCACCACGGCGGGTGTTCGCCGTTTGTAGGCTTCCAGCGGCCCGCGCCGGGCCCCCGAGGCAGTGAAAGGGTTGGCCAGAAGGGAGAGCCGGCCTTGGTGGGGTCCAGGCTTTTGGGGTCGGCTGCGCTGGTGGTTTTCCACCACTACCACCACCAGAAGTTGGAGGGTGGCTCGAGGAGGAGGACGAGGAGGAGGAGGAGGAGGAGGTGGAGGTGGAGGAGGAGGACCCCCTCCCCCTCCACCTTATTATGGTGGTGGTGGTGGAAAACACGCCCATCGTGCACGTAAGGGTCACCCTTCGCTGGAATGACCTTGTGGTGCGATCGCAGAACGCGAGGCACCTCCCCTCTGCGGCGGTGCCCGAGAGGCGGCGCGTCCTGCGGCCCTGGCCGCGGCACGGCCCCAGAGCGGCGGGGTGCGAGTACGAGGAGGCGCCGGCAGGCGGGAGCTCGAGACCGCTGGTCGTGGGGCATCTCAAGCAGTGGCGAAGCGTCTTGGCGTGCCTACAGGCCTACCAAACAATGTTCTAAGAACCTTTTTGTGATTTACAAGAAATGTTCTTAGAACATTTCTGGCTGGGAATGTCCTGTTTTGACACATCGGCCTCACGTTCTCAGAACATGTTTTTTTCTTGGAACATTTTTGGGTTCTAAGAACATGTCGTGGTAGGCCTACAGGAATGCCGGGACGGTCGGTCCCTGTTCAAGGCACAGGCTTGCCCTGACTTCCTCGGGCCCAGATTGTCGACGATGTGATTTTCTCGGCCCTGGCTGTTTTTTGCTCCCAGGTTTCGGCTTCTTGGCCCCCCTCTCTGGCCTCGGGACCATCAGAAATGATTCTGGGCCGAATAGCACCCCCAGAGGAAGCGTCGGGATCTTTGGGGACGCGGGTTGGCACCGGCGGACGTTTATCAGCTTTGTTCGTTTGCTATGTTTTGGGTGTTTCCTGGGCGCTTACTAAACTTTTGACGTTTACCCAAGGCGGTGAACAACGACGTGACGGGCGTTTACTAGCTTTTTGGTTCACTTAGGCTTTTGCCTGGCTTTGGGGCCGTCAGAAAACGTTCAGGATGAAGAATTGTTCTCTCAGCAGTGGTCTGAATCTATTGGGCAGGCGTTGTGACAAAAAAGACAGACGAACAACAGACACACGACGTCGGATGTCTGGGAACAAATAGCTTGGCGTGTGAAGAACTTTGAGATCCTGGCGTCACGTTTTTCCGTACTAGGCAGTTTCGTTCGGGTTCGGGCACCGGGGCTACCGAAGATCGATCAGGTTCGAGAAATACCTCGGAAGTATTGGGTCGATGGTTCTGGCCGTCATTTTTCGTCGATGCTTTTGTTGGGTGACGTCGGATCTCAGTGACAGAACTTAGCAGACGATGAGCGGTGCAAAATAATTAGTTTCGTCTTCGGGGACGTCTGTCCCAGGGTGGTTTCAATGTTAGTACCTAAGCGCGCTACCGTAGGGGTATATGGTATATGTTTCAAGCTGTTCTTGGACAGGCGTCGCCGATGGTGGGCAAGTTCATATATTTCAAATTGCTATTCTGCCGCTAACGAAGGGAGGTCCGCGCGGATCTCATGCGTGGAGCGCGCCAGGGGCGCCGCCAGAGGCGCCGCCATGGGCGTGGTGAGGGGTGTTCGGCGCCGACCGAAGGAGTACGCGCGGGCGCCCGAAATGTTTTGTGATGGAAGCTGATTTCTTATATATATATATATATATATATATCTATATATATATATCATATACACACCAGATGTTAAGGCCGGCTGCGCTTCGCCTTCTAGTCTTGATCCTTGCATCTGCGATGTTTATGGGCGCTGCGGTAAACCTGCTGATTCAATTGCAATACATTGCAATGTCGCTACAAACCACCCCTTAACCTGACGCTGGGGAGGCTAACATGACGGAGCCCCACAGGCAACGGACCTGGCGCGTGCGGTCGAAGCCTGACGCCACGCACGGCAATCGCCCAACACGAGCGAGAGGCAGGTGCGATCGTCAATAGTTTAGCGCGGAAGGTTACGCTCGCGGAAGGCGGATGTGGCCGACGCTCAGGTGAGAGTACCAATCTGGTTCAGGGATGCGGGCGACGCTGGGGCGGTCAAAGCGTATCTGGACAGGGATGTGGCTGGAGCTCGGGCGAGAACACAATTATTCAATGAGGTCTGTGGGAATTGTGTGAGCGGAGCGGCAGCACAAAATTCGAGCAGGGATGTGGCTGGCGTTGCTGCAGGAGTACCATTCCCAACGAAGGAGGGGCCAGCGCGTGGGCGGCAGCGCGACTCGTGGACATGGATGTGGTCAGCGCTTGGGCGAGAGCACCAATCCCAACCAGGGATGAGGCTGCCGCGCGACCAGCACTACCATATGCCATGAGGGTCGTGGCTGGCGCTGAGGCGCAGTGCCGCTCGGATTGCAGAGTGTGGCCAGCGCTGCGGTAGTGGCGCTACTCCTGGATTTGGGAAGTGGCCACCGATGGGCGAGATGGCCATGACAGAAGATGTGAAAACCCCGCGAGCGAAGCGGCAGCACCACATGGGATGAGGGAAGTGGCCAGCGCCTCGGCGAGAGCACCTGTCCCATTGAAACCCATCTGGGGGGCAGAGAGAGAGAAAGGGAGGAGGTGGATGAGGATGACGAGGACAGGGAGAGAGAGAAAGGATGAAGAGGAGGAGGCAGCTCTATGGAAAACTGAGCATCAGATTTTGCTTCCCTGGCCGTCGGAGGAACGAGGGATGCGACGAGCAGGAGGGCGAGGAGGAGGATCAGAAGGAGGAGGAGGATGAGGAGGATGTGGAGGAGAAGGAATGAAAGGGGAAAGGGGAAAAGGCGGCGGAGGAGGAAGGCGACGAGCAGGAGGAGGAGAGGGAGGAGGACGAGTGTGAGGATGGGGAGCGTCTTGGAGACTCTGGGGCTCTCTTGGAGCGACATGGAGACTCGTCGGGACCGTCGGGGAGTTTGGAGGCTGATCTGAGAAGGCCCGAAGGTCGTTTGGAGCAACCGAAGCCCGAAAAGGCAACGAAGCAAAAGTCCGTGAAAAAAGTAATGGAATTTGTAAACGTTCTGGCTGGAGGCCTCTTGGTGCCTCCTTGGGGCTTCGTGTTGGCCTCTGGGGGTTTCTTGGTGCCTTCTGAGGCCGTCTTAGGGGCCTCTCGGGCCGTCTTGACGGCTTCGTGGGCCGTCCTGGGGTCTTCTGGAGCCGTTTTCAAACCGTTTCGGAAGCTTTTTGGGCCGCCGCAGAGCGAGCTTGGGCGCGTCTGGGGCCGCCTTGGAGCGCGCCAGAGCCGGACACGCGCGCACGTGAAAATCTCTCCAAAACCTTTCGCAAAACTCATTGAATTTGACACTTGGGGCTCTCTGGGGCAGGCTTTCGGGGGCTTCTTGGGGAGTCTTGGAGGCATCTTGGGCCAGCTGAAGGCTGATTTGGGCGTCTTGGATCGCTATTTTGGGCCATCTTGGGCCATTTCGACCCGCTCTCGGACCCTCTCGAAGCTCTCATGAGGGCCGTTTGAAGGCACTGGTGGGCTGTCTTGGTGCGCCCGTGGGGGGGGGCCTTTTCGGCCATCAGGGTGGGCCTGCTGCGCTTGTCCAGGGTGGGGGGGCCACATATACGGGCTTTCCTTTCCAGTTTCATAGATAGAAGGACTGTGCTTATTATTGTTTCTAATATCTTAACAAACTGGGGGTGGGGGCCCGCCCCAGGCCGGACCTTTCGGAAGGCCTGGCTTCTGGGGCTCCTGGACGCCCCTGCCGAGGGTCCCTTGAGTAGGGGGCCACATGCGAACCCTACCCCTACCCCCCACGATTTCCGAGGGGGAGGGTGGGGTTCACTTCGCTCGGGAGCTCCTGAGAAAAGTGAACCCCACCCTCCCCCTCGGAAATCGTGGTGGGCAGGGGTAGGGTTCGCATGTGACCCCCTAATGAGACCTCCGGGCTTCTGGGAGTCCTTGCCAAGTCGTGCAAACGGGCCGTCGTGCAAACGGGCCGGCGGTGGCCCCAAGAGGCTCCAACATGGCCTTTTCATGGCCCAAGAGATTTCCCAAACGCCCCAAAGAGCTCCAAGAGGAACCCCGACTATATATATATATATATATATATACACACACAAGACTGCATTGGCGCTTCGCGCCATGCGCCTTGTTCCAGACGCTTCCCTGGCAAAGCAATAAATCATCGCTTTCTTCAGCAGGGAGGACCTCGAGGCCTGGACGGGCGACCCGCCCATTTTTCCGATATCCCGGGTGCCTGCTGACACCGCTTTCGGACGATGCGCTGGCACGCTTGTGCGCAGGAGTGGGGAAATCATGCTATTTTTTTTCGCGCGCGAAGGTTCTTTGAGGAAGTAAGGAGCGTTCCCATGACACGCCGAAGAAGTCACAGTAGCTCCGAACACATCGATTTTTGATCGCTTCCTGAATGCCTGGAGGGCCCCAGGCATTCAGGAAATCTTCGATCGTCGAATTTCGAATCTAGATCCATTGCCTGTCTCTCTCGATCGGGTAGCTACTGAAACCTCGAGCCTCAAACGTAGAAGCAAGATCGTCGGGTCAGCTTGGTGTATTTCGCAGGAGAACGCCGTCTGATCGTTTTTGGTGCTCTTTTGTGCCGTCCTGGGGCACTCTTGGGCCGTCCTGGGGGCTTCTTGGGCCGCCTTGGGGAGCTGGGGCCCTCCAGAGGTCTTCTGAAGCCATCTAGGGCCCTCTTGCGGGCCTCCAGTGGCGTTGGTGGAGGTATCCCATGGCTTTCGTGGGTCTCTCTTGGGAGCCTTCTGGGGGCATCTTGGGCTTCTTGTGGGCAGTCTCGGGGCTCTCTGGGGCATTCTTGGGGCCCCCTTGGGCCGCCTTCAACCCCTCTAGGGGGCCTCCCGGGCCGTCTTGGGGCGAGATTGGGGACCCATTGGGCCGTCTTGGACGTTGCGAAGACCCAAAAAGCGGAGATGCACAACAAATGTATTTCCTGAGGGAATGTGACGATTTTGGCTTCTTCGGGGCTCTCTTAACGGCCTCTTGGGGTGTCTTGGGGGCCTCTTGGGCCGTCTTCAGACCACCGAGGTTCCTCTTGGAGCGCTCTCGCGCTGTCTTGGGTCTCTCTTGCGCCTCTCCGACGACCCCTCTAATCGCCTGCAGTCGGCTCGCAAGGCCTGTCAATGCGCCTTGGGAGGCCCGGAAGGGCCAGCGAACCTTTTCCAAGGGCGTCCAGGGGGCCCCCGAACCGTCCGAAAGGGCGTCCCGGCCGTCCCTTGGAGGAGGATCCGGTTTAGGGGTGGGGGTCCGGGGGTGGGGGGTGGGGGAGGGGGTTCCAGGTAAAAAAAATACAAGAGTAGGAATGTTCCCAAATCAGAGCTTGCATTTAGGGAGGCTCACTTCCGTTCTAGTGAACTAGGCCTGGGTGTCGGTCTGGCAGCTCCGTGCTCGCCGTCGCCGCCTCGTCGCCGCTGGTCGTCTGGGCCTGGGTGTCGGTCAGGCGGCGCCGTGGTCACCGTCGCCGCCCCGTCGCCGCCTCGTCGCCGCCGGTCGTCTGGGCCTGGGTGTCGGTCAGGCGGCGCCGTGGTCGCCGCCGCCGCCGCCTAAATTGTACAACGCAGGGTGCACCATGTAGATTTAAGTCGGGCCTGTCTCTCTACAGGAGGAATTTGCAGAAATAGTCAAACAAAAATAGTTGGGGACGATTTTTCGACTACGTTTGGCCCTTTTTGCTTCTTTTTGGGGGCATCTTTAAATTTTCGTCCTAAATCCGCCTGTAGGGGGACATGCCCGACCTAAATGTATATTGCACTGTATATATTCTTTTTTTGTGCGAAAGTAATAAGATCTGCCTCGCCACCCCCAGAGTTTACGGTCCCCCTTTTCGTATTGCAATGTTCATATGATTCTGCACCATCGTCCATGTTAAATATGTTACCGTACCATCCCATACACGCTAGTAAAACCCCGCTCATCCTCGCAACACACATTATGCGCGCGAGTTCGTTTATCAAAAGTCAGCCGTTTCCATGAATTCATCGCGAAAAATGGGAGGAGGTGCGCACGCGCGCGTCGTAGAGTGCGAATGCCGAGGTCCTTCAGCAACCGTAGGCTCCGTGAAGATTTCAAAACCGAATGCCCCGATCGCAGATAAAATCATATGGCTTCACACCAGGCATCTTCAAAGATACCTTCGCTCGCGCTCTTGCAGATCCTTATGCAGAAGCCATTGGTTATCAACATGTCCATAAAATGCTGCCAAGCGTGCCTCTCGTGCGCGCGTGTCGAAATCGCTCAAACGCACTTTACGCGCGTGCTGTCGCAAGAGTTCCTTGCATCACGACGAGACGAGATGCACTCGCGCGCGTCGTCGCGCGCACATGCGAAAATGTGTCAAACACCGTCGGGTTCGTAGGGATTTCAAAACCGAGTGTCCCGAAAATATTAAAAGCATGGTTTTGCAACATCAATGCTCAATAATGCTTGCGCTCGCGCTCCTGCGAGTTCTTGAGAAAGCCATCCTTTGTTCAACATTTTCATTACATTCGGCCAGACGGGCCTCTCGCGTCGCATGTCGAATTCATTCGAACGCTCTCGCGCGCGTGCTGAGGGGGCACGCCCCGTGTTAAATACGACCATGCGGGCCACTCTCGCGCGTCGGCCGCGAGCGCATGTCGAGCTCCTTCCAAAACCTTCATCACCGACGCGAGGAGGCCGTCATCGTCGTCGGCAATGTCAGCATCGGCGCCGTCACTGGCCTTGCCGTCGTTGTTGTCACCACGGCACCGGCATTGCTACGACCATCATCGTGTCTACCGTTGTCGAAGTTGCCATGATACCGCGCCCGCCCAAATCGCCGACTCGCACTGAAGCGCCTCCCGGGAAGTGCCCAGCGGTCAGCGCCACTGCGGCCGCGTCGGTCGCGCCAAACTAGCTGGCCGTTTCGCGCGCGAACATGCGCGCGCTAGCGCAGCCGCAGAGATGCACCAGCCAACGCCAAGAACTCACCACAATCGCCGCCGCATGGGTTTTGCAAATCAAGTTGCGGGTTGGTGGGTAGGATGATTACGTGAGCAGTGGAGCTGGCCAGTCACACCGAGTGATTGCACCAGGTAGATTGCACCACATATATTGCACGTGAAGATCGCACAACGTTAACTGCACCACGCGGATTGCACCACGTCGATTGCACCATATAGGTTGCACTACACATAGATTGAACGACGCCGATTGCACCACCTAGGTTGCGCACGACGTAGATTGCACACCATATGTTGCACCACACTCCTTCTCCTTGTTAAAAAGATTTGGATGTACACACCCTTGGGTTGATCGGCCCCCCTGAGATCGTACATTATATTTAACGTTTCGCGCAAGTTCACCAGTCCATCCAGAAACGATGCCCAGACGAGTTGGCCCGATCATGCATGTGGAGGAGCATGCAGTGTAACAAAAGGCTGGGTAAGGCGCGCTGCCCCGAGAGGGGGGAAGGAGGAGGAGGAACCAGAGGAAGAGGATGAGGGGGATGAGGAGCAGGAGGAGGAGGAGGACGAGGAGGACGAGGAGGAGAAGGGAGAGGAGGAGGAGGACGAGGAGGAGGATGAGGATGAGGAAGAAGAGGATGAGTAACAGCAGGAAGAGAATGAGGAGGAGGAAGATGAGGAGGAGGAGAGGACGAGGAAGATGAGAAGACGGAGAGGGGGAGGAGGGAGGAGGGAGGAGGAAGGAGGAATCATAGACGGAGGAGGAAGAACAGGAGGAGGAGAAGGAGGGCGAGCAGAAAGGCCAGAAGCCTCTTGGATGCCTCTCGGAGTCGGAGTCTCCTCGGATTTGTCCGAGAGCTTCTTGGATCCTCTTGGGGTGTTTGAGGGTCTCCTGGCAGCCCCAGGGGCCTCTTAGGGGCGTATTGGGTGCCTCTGGGGAGCCTCTTGGGGCCTCTTGAGCGTCTCTTGGGGGCCCCTTGGGGCACCTTGGGGCCCCTCGGGTGCCTTTGGGGGCCTTCTGGGCACCCTCGTTGCCGTTTGGGGGCACCCTTGTTTGAGCCTCGGGGGGCATCTTGGGGCCATCTTGGAGGAGACCGATCAAAGGATCAAAGGAGGGGCCGTACGGTAGAGGGAAACAATTAGTGAACACCCCCCCTGCCCCCAAAACTCAAAGTTGGCACGCGGGGGGAGACTGCGGTCGAGGTGCAACTCATCAGACCCACCGCCAACTTTGAACATTGGGGGAAGGGGGAGGCGTTCACAGATGAATGTGGCATGAGTGTTCGCTAATGTTTTCCGAGGCCTGTAGTACATTTGCGCGCGCTCTTGCGGATCCTTGAAAAAAACCATTCCCAACATTTCATCACATTCCATCCATCGGGCCTCTCGCGCCGCTCGTCGAAATCATTCGACGTCCTTGCGCGCCTGCTGGGGGGCAAGATCCCTGTCAAGTAATCCCATGCGGGCCACTTGCGCGCGTCGGCCGCGCGCGAGTGTCGAACCTTCATCACAGACAAAGACACCGTCACCGTCATCGGCGTGATCAGCATCGTCGCCGTCATTGGCCTTGCCGTCGTCATCGTCATCATCGTCTCCATCATCGCTATTACCATCGTCGTGTTTACTGTTGTCAACATCGCCATGCTACCGCGCCCGCCCACATGACTGACTCGCACCGAAGTGCCGCTAGCAACTACACGGCGGTCATTGCCAACTGAAGTGCCGCTAGCAAGTGCCCAGCGGTCAATGCCACCGCGGCCGCGTCGGTCGTGCCAAATTAGCCGGCCGTTGTGCGCGCGAGCATGCGCGCGCTAGCGCGGGCGCACATATGCAGCAGCCAGCACCAAGCACTCGTCGCAACCGCTTCCGCCTTGGTTTTGCAAACCAGGTTATAAGGGTAGGTGGGATGATCGCGCGAGCAGTGGAGTTGACAGCTCCAAGTTTGATACACTCATTGCGACACATATATATATACTTTTATACATGTATATATCTATTGCTCCAACGAGATGGTACGAAACACGTTGCTCGGGGCCCTCGCTGGTTAGCATTTTCACACACACACACGCATTCACATACACACATACACACATCCATACATCCATACATCCATACATGGATACGTACATACATACGTACACACATACACACATTCATACACACATACATACATACATACATACATACATACATACATACATACATACATACATACATACATACATACATACATACACACATACACACATACATCAATACATACATGCATACATACATACATACATACATACATACATACACGCATACACACATACACATACACACATACACACATACATACATACATCCATACATACATACATACATACATACATACATACATACATGCATGCATGCGTGCATGCATGCATGCAGACATACATACATACACACATACATACATGCGCGTAACATGTGTTCGATGTGTGTGTGATACTGTGTGTGTGTGTTTGTGTGTGCGTTTGTGGCTCTTCCAGGTCAGCCCGGCCCTCGCCGCACGGTACGTCGAGGTGGAGGGCGCGTGAGGCTTCCTTCCCTGGGCTGGCCCGGGTCGGACGAAACGTGGGGGAGAGGATTGGGGATCAGGGGGGATGCGGAAGTTGTTGCATGCATCGAGATAGCAAAAGCATAAACACAACGTTTTGGAGTTCCGCGTGGATTTCTTGGATCGGCGGTCGAACCCTTTGGCGGCACCTCCGGCGCCGCCTCTGTCGCGCGGAGCGCGCCAGGGAGGGGCACCCAGCGCAAATTCAAGAGGTTTGCGCGCACATTCACTTGCTTGTGCTTTTCCTCGACAGTCAGGATGCTGAAACGAGGACCACCTCTGGTCGGAGGGCACCAACTATACCCCTACGCCGATCCCGGCCAGGCCGATCCTGGGCCCAGGATCGGTGCACATGCGTCCTGCCCATGGCAGGAGGGCGTATATACACAGATCCTGGACCCAGGGTGATCCTGGTCGGGATCGGTGTTGGTGTGTACAGCTGGGGCCTTCCTGTCTGGGCTCCGGAGGGGCCGCGCACCTCGGGCCGCGCCCGAAGCGCATAGGTCGGGGAGCCTCTCCGCGGCCGCGGCTCGCGGGGGCCAGAAGGGCACTCTCGTCGTCCCGTCTTGCAGCGCTCCCCCTGGGGCCGCACGACGGCTGCAGTGGCAGCTGGTTGCGGCCCTGTTGCCGCGCGCTTCCCTCGGCACGTGGCCGGCTCCGTCGCCGGGAGGCGCCAGGAAGGCCAGTTCCATGCAGCCGGTTCCCAACGGGAGGAATGTTCCAAAATAGTTTCAAAAATCGTCTGGGGACGTTTTTTGTTGTTGCATTTTGCGTTTTTTTTTTTTTTTTTTTTTTTTTTTTTTGTATTTCTGATTTTTGCATTCAAAATCCGCCTGTAGGGGCCATGCCCGACCTAACGCTAGCCCCCGTCTTTGCCATCCCCCCCCGTTCCTTGAGGTCCCACGTTGGGGAAGCAGTAGAGCATCGTGACAGCTCACGATCGGGCCCCCAGACCCCATTCCTCGGCGGCATGTCTCGGGCCCGGTCCACCCGTGAGGGCGCCGGGGCCCGAATGTTTGGACGAAGTCACCAGGTGTGAAAGTTCAGCCGCCAGGATTCCGAGGCGGGAATTCATACATTCAGGAGGAGGAAAAAAACACACACAGACACAATTAATCGTCGATTCCCCAGAAAATATGGGAAAATATGGGAAGTGGGGGGGAAGACAAAACCCAGAAAATATGGGAAAATATGGGGAATCCTGTTATTTGTGTATATTTATGTGTGTGTGTGTCCCTGGGCTCCTTTATACATGACCACCGCCTGGAGGATCCATTTCGGGGATCTCGGCAGGCGGTGGATGTGGACAGTCGGACCCCCAGGGGCCAACATGTATCCATATCCACAAGGTCGGCACCGCCTGTACTCCGCACCCTCCTGCCGCCTGAGGCCCCGCCCGCCCGCGCCCTGTCTCCCCAATTAGTGCTTCGCGCGCCCCGCCTAGCTCTTAACCGGAAGGGGCCCGCTCCCGACCCGCCGACCCAAAAAAGTATCCATATCCACTGCCCGCTGGGGCACTAGGACGTCGGTTCCCAGGCGGCGGATGTGGATAAATCCCCGCCTCGCAAGGATCTCAGGGTCAGTCGCCCCGGCTTGACTCTTCCTGTGGCAGCTCCCCGGCGCGGCTGGCACCGCTTTTTCATCTGTCTCGGCGACGCGTAGGAGTGACCCTTCGCAGATGTGGCGTACGGTGCGCGGCTTTCGTCTGGCGCGGGGAAGTCAAACGACTGTCGCATCTGTCGCGTCGCATGCAACGATCGGCAAGCCCAAAAGTCGCTCTTGCCTAGAGATCACTCTGGCTTGTAGCCGACTGGCGGCCCCTCCTTGCAGATAGCGGCGGGAGGCTGTGGCTAGCAGGATCGGCTTGCTCGCACGCGCTGTCCACGAGGTTGTGCCATGCAGCAGGCCAGCCACAATGGGGGGAGCCGTGGTCGCCATGTTGCCCAGACATCCCCTGACGTCCTCGTGTCGTGGAAGAGCATGACGGCCGCTCTTCCACTCGCGACAGATTGGGGCTGTGAGATCGTAAGAACAGGGGGTCCCGACTCGCCGCGAGGCTCGCCTCTGTCCTCCTCCTCCTCCTCCTCCTCCTCCTGGCCGTCGCAAAAAGGGTTCCCGACTCGCCTCGCTCACTCCCCACATCGTGGCCGCCAGGCCCCAAACATCCCAGTGGTCCCTGCAGATCCCGCCACGCCGAGCCCCAGCAGGTGGGCGTCAAGGCGTCACGCCCAGCCTCGCCCACCCAGCATACCGCGGCCGCCAGGCGCCAAGAGTCCAGGGAAATTCTTGGGGTTCTGCTTCGCGAGCCCTGCCAGTGAGGCGTCGTCACGCCGTCCATGGTTCCATAGACATCTAGAACATACCTCAAGAGCACATGCCAACGACATACCCTAGCATCACACATTAGAAACACACATTACTGACAGACACCAAGAACTTGCATCAACCGCACACGCGCAAGCATGAGTCCATAACGCAAGATTATGCGTGAACTGGCACACGCCAAAGCAAGACCATGCAACCAACACATGCATGAGTAGCACGCCAAGGGCAGATAGGTCCAGCATATCCCGATTACGTTCGCAAATATAAACCACCATTGCCGAACACCAGTGTCATGCTCAACGACCGAGGGGTCAATAGCAGACATCAGCAGCAGTCAACACTAACGCACATCCATAACATACATCGGTACTGTACAATAGCGAAGACCAGTATCACCAATACACCAATGGCACGAAGCAAGCACGCGCATGGCGCTCACACATCAAGAGCACACATCAAGAAAAGGGCATCACGAAGTAACATACACCAGTAGCACGCACCAGTGGCATGTACCACCATCGTGTGCTTACAACACACATCAACATCACACCACCAAGATCAGACTGCATTGATACACACCAGAGGTACCTTTTCATCATACACCACGACTATACGCCAGACTATGGCAGCAGTAGAAAACATACATAGCATGCATCCGTCATAGACGCCAGGTGAGGCCAACACCTCAGTGGCATCACGTCGATTCCACGCAACACGAACATTTTCCAATTGTGCGCGTCATGGACGGGCAATCGTAGCACGTGTCAGCACGTGTCACCACAGGCAGACATCACTAATTCAGCACATATCTATACCGCACATCGTCGCAACCCGATCGTACACCAATGACATTATCAATTCGAATCTTAACGTGCACGCATCACCCAGTTACTTGATGCGCACACGTTGCACATGATGTAACACGTGCACGTGCCAAGCAAGCGCCCAGAGCATTTACAGCGACCACGCGTCATGAGTTATGTAGCATACCGATGAGACAGGCGAAAGGTTGATGAGAAGGTCGGGAGGGGGCGGAACCGTCTCCATTCATTGAACATCCTCATCTCGGTCTCATTATTTCCGGTCTCTGTATGCACACATATAGGTGTATGCATACATCTATATGTGTGTATGATTGGCCTCACTATCACTATATTGGTGGATTCATCGATGTATTCGCTTATGGATCTCAATACCGACCTCACTACTTATGTATTGGCCTCAGCATCCATCTTCGAGCTATGGACCTCACTATATATAGATATACACACATTTATACGCAGAGCGCGCGAGAGAGAGAGAGAGCTATCGACCTCATTCTATATATATATATACGTATACTTGTGTAAAGACCGATATCGCCTGCGATCGACCTAACTGATGACCTCGCTATCGATCTCTCTGTCGACCTCTCTATTTAGCGATCGGTCTCACTGTCTATCTGGCGAGATCAAGTCTATCCATCGGGGCAGCCATCGGGGGACAACCGGCGCATTTGTGTACTCCATGTTGGCCAAGATCCCGATGCGCCGAAGGAGCCGAGTTCAGTTGTTCGGCCGAAATTCCCTGGGATAGCCATCGGGACGACCCTCGGGACAACCAGCGGGACAGCCATCGGGACACCCTTCGGGAAAGCATCGGGAAAACCGTAGGGAAAACCACGGTAAAATTATCGGAACAACCATGGGCAGAACCACTGGGACAATTATCGGGACAACCATCGGGACAATCATCGGGCAAATCATCGGGACAACCATCGGGACAACCATCGGGACAACCATCGGGACAACCATTGGGACAACTGCGAGACAACCGTGGGACAACCGCGGGACAACCACGAGAACGAGACAGCCACGGGACGACTGGAAGGCACCATCCGCCAACCAGGGGGGGGCGGAGGAACATCTGCTCCGACTCAGCCTCACCAGCGGTGGGACTGTTCCTCTCGCCCGCGGACGCAGCTTCGCCTCGCACGCATGGCACGAACACGAAACCGGGACCGAGTTCCGGGCTGCGGATTTCCCTTTCCCGTCGATCTCACCCCAATTTTCCGATCTCGTTGTGAAGTCGCACGCGACAGTTCTCGAAGCCACGTGTACCAGTTTCTTGGTGGGGGTCACCCGAAGCGACACGAGTTTTACCCAGTTGGCTTCTGTGGGCCAGTACTGGGCTGGGACCGTCAAAACACGGCTTGGATTGAACAGCCAGTCTTGGGCAACGGGCTTGAATCTGAGCTCTGGGCTTGGCGCTGCGACAGAATGGAGGCAGCCAGTCCCGGTCAGCCTGCAACCTCGGCCTCTGGTATGCTTCGGGCCTCGGGGCCGTGCGGAAGCGACTCGGGATGAAGAAGCTGGCCTTGGGAAAGCGGTCGAGAGGCCCGGGGCCTGCGCATCGGAGTGAGGGGGTGTCGGGGGAGGACAGGGGTCGTGTGGGGAGTGTGTCCCTGACACCCTGAATCTTTGCAGGACCACTTCTCGTGGAGGGTCCCAGGGGTTCGGAAACGGTGAGCAATTTTCTCAGGGCCCCTTTCCGCCAGGACCCGTCTCCTTCATACCAATGGGGGCCTTGCCCACCTGTGGGGGCCGTTGGCTCGTACACCCTTGACGGAGAGATCAGCGGAACGGTGGGTTTCCCACCAGGGGGGCAAGGCACGGA